AGAAGGCATAGACTGATAAATGGATTAACAAACAAGATCCAAATCTTTTCCAAGTTATTTTTTATTAAACTCATTTGTGTATGTAGGGAGAGGGGCACATGCACAGGTGAAGGTCAGAAGTCAAGCAGTGTCAGTTCAGTCCTTACGCCATGTGGTACTAAGGGTCAGACTGGGCCATTGATTTGATTCAAGGTCCAACTGTCTGCTGTCTGCAGGAAACACAGCAGCAAAGACACACACAGAGTAAAAGGATGGAAATGATATTCCAAGCAGCCAGTGTGCAGAAGCAAGCAACAGTAGCTGTACTTAGATCCAACAAGGCAATGTCAAACAATAATAGGAAAGAAAAGAAAGTCACCACACATTGGTCATTGGAACACTACATCAGAAAGACATAATCATTATAAGAATATAGGCACCACATGTTGATATATTTAATTCATAAAACAAACATTATTACATAATAAACGTAACCATAATAATAATGGTTGTGAGCCAAGATGTGAATTCTGGGACCCAAACCCAGGTCCTCTGGAAGAGCATCAAGTGCTCTTAACAGCTGGGCTATCTCTCCAGTCCCTAAGAAGATTTTTTTTTTAACTAAAACATATCAAAGACAAGTAATGAGATGGAATCATTAAGTTTCTCACAAAGAAAAGGTAATGATCAGAATACTGACTGCATACTGGGTGGCAGTGGCATACACTTTTAATCCTAGCACTCAGGAGGCAGAGGCAGGTGAATCTTTGTGAGTTCAAGGCCAGCCTGGCCTACAGAGTGAGTCCCAGAGCAGCCAGAGCAATGCAGAGAAATCCCATATCAACCCCCCCAAAAGAATATTCACTGCTGATTGTACAATATCTACAGGAGAACTAACTTTATGATCTTCACTCTATGAACTAGAAAGGGAAGAAGTTTTTCTGATGCTAGCCATAAAGTTGCTATTACCCAGATACCTAAGTCAAATAAGGATAACAACTGGCAAAAGAAAACCACAGACCAATGCTCTTGGTAAACATTAATGCAAAAAACAAAAGATTCTGCAAAATATTTGCAGATTAAATTCAACAAACTCTGAAAAGATCATGTACCATGATAATTCTAGTTGCATTCCAGGAATGCAAAGATGACTCAACAATGTAAACTGGGAAAGGAAATACAGCTCGGAACAGAATCAATAACAAACTCACATGACCATCTCAACAGATGCATGAAATCGTTCGACAAAAATTAACATCCTTTCATGATAAAAGGCCCAAGAAACCACATACAGATGCACTGGGACTCAACATAATAAATGCTATATATCATTCACTTGTGGGCAACAGCACACTGCAGGGGGAAAACTCAAATCATTTTCTCTAAAATCCGAAACAAGAATGTCCACTGTTGTTGCTTTTATTCAACACAGTACTTAAAATTTAGCTACAACAGTAAGGCAAAGAAATTAATGAATAAATAAGAAATACAGGTGAAAGAGGAAGATGTCAAATAATTCCTATTTGCTAAGATATGATGCTATACTTAGAGGGACCTAAAGATTCCTCCAAAACCTTCTAGACCTGACAAACAAATTTAGCAAAATACCAGTATTTTAAAAATCAACATACAAAACTCAGTAGCTTTTTATATACACCAAAAATGATTCTGCTGAGAAAGTAACCAGGAAAATAATCTCATTCACAAAGGCCTAAAACAGCCCCACGGATGAACCCAACCGAAGAGGCAAGAGACCCTTACAGAGAAACTATGCCATACTGAGGAAAGAAACTGAAGAAGAAACTAGAAGATGTGTTGTTTGACATTCAATGCAGTGACTGCAACTTGAGCAACTGCTGTCTCAACCGGCAATGGAAACTCTGCAGATACCAGTAGCTGGTCTGGGCACTGGCCACAGAGCCAGTCAGGAATTCTATTCCCCCAAGCACTGGTTCAATCATGGCTGCTAAAGGAATCTTTATCTAGATCTCTATCCTTCTATAGAACTCAGGATTCAAAGATTGACACAAAATACTGCTGGCTCAGAGAAGCTGAATAGCAAGAAGCTAACCTCTTCATGCTCCTGTCTCCTGAAAAAAGGGACCATCCCTCTGCTCAGTCCCCCCCAAAGAACCCTTGTTACAAAAGCCCCCCCCCCGCTTCCTGACAGCTGCACACCCAAAGGAGTCAGAGCTAGCAGACAACAGAAATAGCTGCATGTCTGTAGATTTTCACACTGCTTACAACAGCCAGGGTATGGACTAGCCTACGTGTCCATCAACAGAGTGGACGAAGAAGTGGGGTGAATCTACACAGCAGAACCAGGGGTTTTTAACCTGTGGGTGGTGACCCCTCGAATCAAACGACCCTTTCACAGGGGTTGCTGAAAACCATCAGAAAACACAGATATTTACATTATGATTCATAACAGTTATGAAGTAACAATGAAAATAATTTTGTGGTTGGGGTCATAAATAAAATGAGCCAGAAGGAGAAAGACGATGTCCTGTATCCTTCCTCGTGTGCAGAATCTAAGTTTTAAGAAAAGCCAGGAAAATAGTTGAACTATTAGAAAAGGGAGTCAGGGGAGGGGAGAGAAGGAAAGGGAAAGGTCAGTGACCAGTATATGGACACCACTGGCGGGTGAGAGCATTGAAGCCCATTGTCTTGTAAAATTAATATGCAACAATAAAACACTTTTTGAAGGAAGAGTTACATGGATTTTCCCCAAACATTCCAAATTTGCTGACTCTCTCTGGGATGACAACTGACTGCCAGCAGGAACCTGTGGGACAGTGACTTGATGTTTACAGACTAATGAAGGCAGACCCTCTATTTCATTAAAGTAGGACTCAACAATGTGTGGAAAGTAAACACTTTTCTAAGAAAATACAAGTCTTGTGGAGGAGAAAGCATTCTGAATGGCAGATGTTTGGAATGTGGGCCTCTCTGTGGCAAAGCCAGAAATTCATTAACTTTAAAAGTTTCATGTGTTCATTTATTTAAATGTGGAAACAAATTCTTCTAATGTATTTTAACTTTTTCCAAAAGAAAACTGTCAGTGATTTTTGAACAGTTTGTCTGATTTTCTCTGTAGAAAATGACGACCGCAGCATAAAGAGAGAGCAACGACTAGCCAAGCTTTACTGGGAGAAAAACCTGGGTGAACTCTGAGTGAGTGCAGGCAGCAAGAAGCCTGCCGCACAGCACCAACTTGGTGGGCTGCTCTGTCTCTCACCATTCTGTTTTTTACGTGAAAACATGTTCCTTTGGCCTGTAATGCAGTGCTCTAATACAGTGCTTCCCAACATAAGAGGAGTTGAGGACGGTGACCCAGCCCCACTCCCCACCGCTGCGCATTCTTCAGCAAGCATGTGTCACGAGCTCGTGCCATTTTGCCATGCTGGCTTCCTTGTCTGTGTTCTAAGTAGACTAGGAAGGAGCATATGAGGAGATACCCTTGAGGTGGTCTGTGAGCTGCTCGTGCATCCTGAAACTAGTTCTAATACCATAAAAATTTCATCATTTTTTTTCCACCCAGATTTCCACTATATAGCTCAGGCTGGTCTTGAACTTGTCTTGTAGGCTAGATCAACCTCAGTTTCTCAGTCCTCCTGCCCCAGGCCCTCCAGTGCTGGAATTCAGGTATGTACCTCCATGCCTTGCAGCCTGAGTGCTGTTTTGGTTTTCTGTTTGTGTTTAGTACTGGACTAGAACCTGGGGCCTCCTACGTGCTAGGCAAGCTCTCTACCCCTGGGCTATCTCCTCAGCATGAGCCTTTATCTCTTCAGAAATCTTTCAGATCTACTAACTCTAAGACCAACTTGGAGCTGTTGAGCAACAAGTACCAAACTAAATGTGTCAGAAGGAACTCCACAATTACATTCGTGCACATGTCTAATTATCCACAAAAACAAATAATTAAAGCAAAAATGACTGGCGGCTGTTGGAGAAAATTAAAAGTGCCTTCATCATCATTATCTTCTATCTCCCTATTGGCATATTTACACTATGTGGTTAAAAAAAGTGTTTTATCATTGGCTTATCTTTTCATTTTTTCTTTCCATGTAGTGAGAGATACGTACAGTATGTTAGGATGTTCACACATGCATACAATTTATACATAAATTCGCATCTACCACATGGCACATTCAACTACCTATCATTAATGGTGATTCCAGTCAAGACTCTTCTAACACACTGACCCAGACACTCTAAGCTCCAAAATTACTCCCTCTTCTGGCGATATTTCTCTTCTCAGCAGCCCTTCCAGGAGCAAGGATTTGAACTTAGAACTGGATACCAGCGCTCACATCCAGCCTAGGGTAAAATGTTGTTTCTTAGCCTCCTCCTTTTTTGTACCTCCCAGTCTAAGATGAGAGCCTGGTGTGAGAGGCTATCACAGTACCGGGTGTTGGTAAAGCAGCACCAACCGCATGCACCCTCATCTCCACCAGGTGTTCCCTGCCAGAGTGCCCTGTCTGTTTCTGTCCTCTGAAGGTCTCATTGCCGCCCCCACCCGCCCCGACCTCTGGTTGGCGCATCAGATGAAGCGAATCTTTGATGACACTGAAGTAGTGCTACAGATACAACCGGAAATGCTACCAAAGTTTCCTAGGTATAAGGTTGCAAATCCTAGAAGTCTGACAGCCTCTTCTAAAGCCCAGGGTCAGCCCCGTGCTAGCCCGGCACCGTCTGGGTGATGGATATTTTGCTATGAAGCCTCGAGCTTCCTCTACAAGCTGGAACCTGACCATACCTTTCACTCACCCTCGCTTTGCCCTCCCCACCTAGGATGGCATGCCACCAGGGTGGAGCTCCACCTGGCTCATACCAAGAGCTCGGCGCCCAGGTCACAGGGTCCCCCGCCAGTCTGGCCTTGGAAAGAGTCCGGCCCCGTCACTTGAGGTCATTAGCTCGTGTAAGGAAAAGAAGATCCATCCTTTGGCCACAGTGACAGGCCCGTGTAGAGAGCTAGTCACAACTTTCGACCCAATTGCCGCTACCCGTGGGGACCATACCTGGATAGTGTGGCCACTGCCCTGTGCCGTTGGGCCGCCCACCAATTTGCAATAAAGCTCCGGCCGAGGCCTTGCGACCTCCGGACCCCGCTCTCCGCAGGTAGCGGTGGCCCAGATCCTTGCCGCCTGGGCCAGATTGAAGTAGGGTGGGTGCAGGCTGAGCGCGGCCGCCCGAGGGTCCCGAGCCACCATACTGCTGCAGGGCGACATCCCCAGCAGCAGCAATAGCAATAGCGTAAGCAGCGGCGGTGAGGATCGCGGTGCCCAGGCTGGAGCCACCGCCATCCCGTGGCGCTGGGTCTCCTGCCTGTACATGGCGTGGCACCGTAAAGTAGGCTGCTGCCACTCTCCGCGCTCCTGGGTAGCCCCGGGATGTGGGAGGCGCCCAGGGCCGCGCCCCTCTGTCCACGCGCTGATCCCGCCGCGTAGGCGCGGCTCCGGGATTGCGGAACCTGCTGCTGCTTAAGGCACCCGAGCGATCAGGAACCAAAAAGTGTGGACTCTGTGGGCTGCAAACTTTCTCCCCAACTGCTCAAAGTCAGAACACCAGCAAGGGTGCTCCGACTGTCCTAACATCCAGGTCAGAAATCAAAGCTGTCTTCTTTCCAAATATTCAAGGTCTCCCAGCTTCTGGGAGGCTTGCAGGAAGCTACCTCTGCCTGTAGAACTTTTTGTCAAAGACGTTTCCAGTTTCCAGGCGAGCATTGATCTGAGTCCATCCTTCTGCTTCGCCGCTACAAGCTACGTGCGGAGCCAGGGATTAAAGGCTCTCACTAAATTAGCAGTGGTGGCAAGTACACATCCAAACCACAATCCTGTGGTGTGCGCTGTGGTTAGCCGAGCTAGAACGGTACCTCGGGGAAATCCTTTAGAAGTCCAGGTACTACTCACTCGCGGTTGAAACTTGGCCACTTTCCAGCACTGTGTCCACAATAGGCCCTCTAAGCTGTTAGAGGAGGTGCCATTGCTGGGAAAGTCAGCATGCTCAAGGACTTTAAGTGTCCCAGATGAACAGGACTAAAGCTTTGAAGACTGGAGAGCGGGAAAGAGGCAAGACGTGAGAACACCGCTCGGTCTGGATACAGAGAAGGGGACAAACTGGCACAGGAGAGGTGCTGTGGCCTGAGTATCCCTGCCCCTCCCCCACAAATTCCTAGGCTGAAACCCTGCCGTCCAGCCGCGATGGTTTTAACTAAAGAAAGAATTCTTTGCGTCTATTGTAAATAACTCCAGTGTGCATATGATTTGCCTCAACTATTTCAATTGTAGAGCTCTGTATCCTGGAAATATTCAGGCAAATACATCGCGGGGGCAGTGATGGCGAACGGAATCAGAGTCCCAAGCTGGACTTAGTGGCCCACATTGCAATCCAGAGCTATGGAAGGCTGAGGCTGTGGATCAGGCTACATAACAAACCCCATCACAAAATAATAATAAATAAAACATTATGGCAGAGTGTGCTGTCTCCAACACTTGCGGTACACTGCAGGAGAGCACAGTGGACAGATTTGTGTAGAAGCCAGGACGCAGCCCCCACCTCAGGTCCTCTGGTTCCGCTGTCTACGGTGACTTTGTGTTCGAAAGCTCCATACTTCGTGTTTGAAAGCTCCCCACTTTGCGTTTTTCTGCTATAAAAGCTCAAATGGACTTAGATGAAGGCTTGAGCTCACTGGTATATGTATAAAATGCTGGGATAGTTTTGAGACCAATTTAATGTTTGTTCTTCAAAAATATGGAGGAAGGGAAAGGAGTTTATGAGCCTGATATAAAGGAGAAGCCATAGGAAGAACTGAAAAGTCAAATGTCAGACAGCACCTTAATCAACACAAAGTGGAAAACAGATGCATAGCTGATAGCTCACTATACCTTTAGCACACGACTTTTACAAAACGAACACAGAAAAGCTAGGAGAGTAACCAGGCAATTTACATAAAAAGAAACTTCAAAAGCAAACAAACATAGCTGGCATAGAGTTTTGATCTTCCTGGGAATCAAGACACCAACCAACAGGCCTTGCCTTTCACTTATCAAGTTGATAAAATGAATTAAATGTAAAATTGAGAATTGAAGAGAATTCATGAAATTAACACACTCTTGGTAAAAGGGAAGAAACCTTCCATTTGAGGGAGGAATTTCTGCATAGCCTCGCAAATGACTCCAATATATAATTTGGCCTGCAGTTTTTTTTTTGAATAGTTTTATAGTCCTGAAATAATCAGGGATGTTTATGAAGATTTGATCCAATGGTTCCTTGAAGCTATTTAATTTGTTTGTTTGAAGTTTATAAGACCCTAAGGCTACAAAACTACCTTATAGGAATGTATTTTGACATGTTTGTAATATTTGACGAAAAGGAAATTAAAAATGCACATGTCTATCAATTGTATCAATTCTATCTCTAGCCCTAGCAAAATGAAATTAGGAAAAAAGTCTATAAGAGCATCAAAAAGAATAAAATTCTTAGGCGTGACGTAAACTAAGAATTCAACTGTAAAGACTAAAGATCATTCAAAGACGTTTCCTAAGAGCTTAGTACCGGTTGCCTAGACTTAACAATGAAGCAAAATCCTATAAACTCATCATAATGTGACAAAAATGTCAAAAAACTAAATCTAGAACACTTAACCTACTGACCAGCTCAGATTAGCTACATGGGGCACTGTAGAGTTTTGTGTTTTCATCTTCGTGGGCGTGTGGGTAACTACAATCTGGGGCTCACAACAGCTGCCAATGCCAAACATCAAAAAATATATTATTCTTATTACATACCATTAGCACATAAAATATGTGTAAAATTTGTGCTGAGTTTGTATTGTTTTCATTCAGTCAATAAATTGGGAGGGCGAGGAAGGAAGTCAGGCATCCTAGTCTGCTTTCTGTTATTAGGAACGACACCAAAGCCAAAAGCACCTTGGAGAGGAAAGGTTTACTCCGTCTTACAAGTCAGCCAGGAACCCAGAGACAGGAACTGAAGAACAGGTCCTGGGGGACACCATCTACTGGCTCCCTTGCAAGCTCACATCCAGCTACCCTTTGGCACAATTCAAGCCATCTTCTGGGGATGGTCCTGCCCACGGTGTGCTGACCCACCTACATCAATTAGAAAAAAAAATGCCCCACAGGCCAACATGCTTCGGGCGGTTCTTCAGTTGAGGCTCTCTCTTCCCAGGTGTGTCCAGGTGACAACCAAAATAAGCTTCACAACAATACATCACTGATTTGGGGGACTATCTGTAAAGCACTATCTATACTTAGGTTGGGGACTATCTGTAAAGCACTATCTATACTTAGGTTGGGGACTATCTGTAAAGTACTATCTATACTTAGGTTGGTATATAAAGCGTCAGAGTGGCAATACTCCACACAGCAGGCTAAGATTGAATACAATACTTATCAAAATACCAGTTTTGTTTGATTTTTTTTGTTTGTTTCTGTTTTTCTTGCCTTTTTTTTTCAGAAACTGATGTAAGGATCCTAAAATTCTTACAAAAATTCAGGCGGCCCAGAGTGGTCATAATGATTCAAAAAACAACAAAGTATAGGATTCTCTTCTTGACTTCAGATTTAAAACAAAGTGACAGTGATCAAGACTGTGTTACTGTCAACAGGATAAACACAGAGATCAATTAATACAATTGAGAGTCTATAAATAAACCCTTAAGTCATGGTCACTTGGTTTTCAACAGGATACCAAGACCATTGTGTGAGAAAAGAATCCCGTCAATGAAAGGTTCTTGCCCAAACAGATATCCACGTGCAAGAAGATGGACTCCCCTCATGCCACACACAACTCGAAGGATGCAAGCCACAACTATGAACGAAAACATAAGGAAAATATTCTTAGATTTAGCAAAAGTACAAAACAAAGGAACCTTATTAAATTTGAAAACCTCTGCTTTTCACAGGACACCTCTACCCAAAGAGAGGTAAAGGTGTTTCAGGGACACCTGTCTCACAAAATACCCATAGCCAGAACAAAGAACTCTTACCAATCAAAGAGAGGTAAAGGTGTTTCAGGAACACCTGTCTCACAAAGCACCCATAGCCAGAACAAAGAACTCTTACCAATCAAAGAAAGGTAAAGGTGTTTCAGGAACAGCTGTCTCACAAAGCACCCATAGCCAGAACAAAGAACTCTTACCACCCAACCATTGTTTAAAAATATGAAGTCAAGTATGAAGACCCAACTTCAGATCCCCAGCTCCCGTGTAAAACCCCAACATCCCGCACAGGGGTTGGGGAGGGGTGCGGAGCCAGAACCCCTAGGGTTCACTGGCTTGTTAGTCTAGTTGAAACGGGGAGCTCTACATTCAGGGAGAGACCCTGTCTCAATAAATTAAATGAAAGGTGATAAAGGAAGACATCCAAAATCAACCTGTGGTTTCCACATGCACACACAAAAGAGCATACACACACGGGCACACACGGGCACACATACACACACACGGCACACATACATATACCACACAACAAAACAAAATGCCTTGTCAGGCTGGAGATGTAGTTGAGCTGGGTCTCTGCCTGGGTTCCTCCCCAGAACTGCATGGAATGGGGTGTGGTGGCACATGTCTATAATACCAACACTCAGGAGGTGGGGCAGGAGATCAGAGGTTCAAAGTCATCTTCAGGTACACGGCAAACTCCATACCACCATGAGATACGAAAGCCTGTCTCAAATGAAAACAAACATGAAGAAAAAACTTGTGATGTTAAAGTGTGGTGAGTGTTTTCCCAGTGCTTTAAAAAAAATTAGATAAAGCCTTTGTGTCTAAAGACAGTGCCTGTTACCAAGGCCGTCTCTCTAAAGGTGATGTATTACAAGCAAGCGTCCACTCCTACAAGCCTAGACACTGCAAAAGTCATAAAAATGAGACTTTGCAGGGGGAGAGAAAGGCAGTTTTCAAGTTTCAGTTTATGAGTTTAAATTAATTCTGAGCAGATGCTTTTAAATGCAAAGACAGCACACATGGCCACACTCCTGCAAACCTGCAGTTTTAACCCAGAGAGATGATGCTTCAAGAAATTAAATCACTTGCCAATGAGAGTGCTAATTGCAGGAGAATTGTTCGTACAGTCATACCACGTGCCAATAAAGGAAATTTTAATCAAAGGACATAGCAATTGATGACCAGGATTAGCTTAGAATTGTTGAAGGACTGAGGATGTCTGTTAGAGAGGGACAGGAAGAGAGAAGAGAGGCTTCCGGGTATTTCTTGGGCTGGTAGATGGGGAAATACGCGGAGAAAGGGTTAACCAGTCAGCTCTCCAGTCGTTATCTCAATTCC